CTCCGTGGCCCCCGAGGGGGAGCCTGCCTCCGGGGAGCCGGCGCCCAGCTCCGGCCGCAGCAAAAAGATCTTTGGCTGCTCCGAGTGCGAGAAGCTGTTCCGCTCCCCGCGGGACCTGGAGCGGCACGTGCTGGTGCACACGGGCGAGAAGCCGTTCCCGTGCCTCGAGTGCGGCAAGTTCTTCCGCCACGAGTGCTACCTCAAGCGCCACCGGCTGCTGCACGGCACCGAGCGGCCCTTCCCCTGCCACATCTGCGGCAAGGGCTTCATCACGCTCAGCAATCTCTCCAGGCACCTGAAGCTGCACCGGGGCATGGACTGACCATGCCGCCACCCGCCTGGCGCTGGACTCGGGGCCCCCAGGGGACCACCCAAATCCAGGCGCGGGCCCTGAGATGAGGGGACCCTGGCTGGAGGGACGCGGCCACCAGAAACCCACATAGGCACCCTGAGCTGGGGGATCTATGGAGATCCCTGAGCTTGAGGCCTCCCTGGAATCCATGATGGGCACCCCCAAATCAATGGGCCCCTAAGTTGGGGGGACCTAGGAATGAGAAATGGGCCTCCACAAGTATACATCTCACCTTGAGGGCCCTAATAAAAGATGGGCACCCCGCCCCCAAGGGAAGCCTGCCCTCTCCCTGAGAGCCATCATTCCCGACGACCTTGGTCTGGAGAATGTGGGGGACCATGCCCCTGAATTTCCCTGGATCCTTCCGAATGCACCCGCCACCGTCGCTGGTGCCCCTAGATGATGGATGGAGCCAGAATCTGCCTCCCCCGTTCCATTCCCTGTGCCAGAGGAGGACCAGGGTGGATGCCCCCTGCCCTCAGCCCGCTCCCCGATTAGGCCTCCCTCCCCAGCTGCGGAATGGGTGAACCCTAATGGTCTTCCCCACCCCCAAACTCTAGAGTAGGCCGGTTGGACATCCCCCCCCCATGCCCAGTAGGATGGACTGATCAGATACACAGCCTCCTGTCCACTGGAACGGGCTGGCCGGGTTGTGGCCTCCCCGCTCCCTCCTTGCAGTGACTAGGGCCGACTCCCCTCCTCTTCCGCGTCATTCCCCATCCTGTGGACTCGCCTGAGTGGGAGGTGGTGAAGCCTAGGGTCTCCCTCTGCTCTGCTGTAGCACCTGTCGGTCTTTCCATCTCTGTTTGTCTGTGTTCCTCCCAACCCCAGGGGAAAGGGGGGTTGGCTAGGGGGTCCTCCCCATGAGCCTCGACCTCACCCCCTTATCCCTGACCCCAGTGTCTTCAGGACCACAATAAACCTCGTCCTGTCGGTTAATGCCATCTCGCTGTCTGAACCTTGGCTCCAGTGGGTGGGGAGTTCTCCCTCCCCAGCTTAGGACAGGCCTCCTAGTAGAGACAGCCTTCCCTCCCTCCGAGGAATTTGGAGTCCTTGAAATAGTGCTTGACCCTTAAAATCAGAGATGGTTTAAGTCTCATCTAAATGGAACCCTGCCCCTTAAATACTAGGTCCGCTTCCACGGGTGGACGTGCTCCCTAGAACCAGACAGGCCCTTTTGAAACCTTCAACCCCAAAGGACATGTCCCCTAAAAACCAAACTGCCACCTTACAGACCAGTTCCTTCCAGGAGGCTGAGCCATCCCCCGCTTAGACTCTGCATTTTAGGCCACTGAGTTAGTACCTTAGAGGCTACCTCCGACCTCAGATTAGGATCCAGCGGGCCTTCAGATTGCCTCCTGGGTTCAGATACATTCCTGTAGCAAGGGCGCATTGCGTGCCAGCATTGTAACCCCTCTGGAGACCCAACTGAACAAAACTTGTGGAGCTGATAGTCTAGTGCAGGCAGCTGAGGTGTAGAAGAGAGTAAAAAAACAAGGCACCCGGGCGGCGTGGCTCCGTGGTTGAGCCAGGAAATCCTGGTTCAATTACCAGTCAGGGCACATGCCCAGGTTGTGGGCTCGATCCCCAGTGGGGGGGGTGCTGGAGAGAGCCGATCAATGACTCATCATTGATGTTTCTATCTCCCTCTCCCTTCCTCTCTCTGGAATCAATAAAGATATATTTAAAAAACAAACAAAGACTGAAGGCAAATTGAGAGAGTTGTGAACTCAAGAAAACAAGGTAGGGTGTTAAGAAAGTGAGTGGCTGAACTATGCCGCCTGAGATGGGGTGGTCTGGGCAGGNCAAACAAAAACTGAAGGCAAATTGAGAGAGTTGTGAACTCAAGAAAACAAGGTAGGGTGTTAAGAAAGTGAGTGGCTGAACTATGCCGCCTGAGATGGGGTGGTCTGGGCAGGCTTCCTACAGAGGTGGCATTTGATCTGAGGCCAGAATAGCGAGGGAGTAACCAGGAGGGTGCCTGGTTGGGAGGTAAGCCAGGGTCAGGTCACACAGTCTGGTGGGCCAGGGTACGAGAGCAAGATGCTAAGTGTGAAGAGATGTGACCCCTCTTGCACTTCACAAGGATCCCTCTGGCTGCCAAGTGGAGGAGGAACGGGG